AATCCTGCTGTTGAAGCAGAGCTAGAAGTGTCTACGAGCCAATTTAACAGAACCCCACAAACGGCACATGTGCAAACAAGGGAGTTCTTGTTATTTTTCTTCCATATTGAAGATTCTGACCAGCGCCATTTCTTGACGTTTAGTCTGAAGTGTGGTTTTCGGATATGTAGTGTGAGCAGTTAGATCGCATCAGAGCGTCGGGCCGTACAGTGTAACAGCATGCATCTTGAGTGGTGAACCTTTAAACCCTGCGATTTCATTGTACCGTTTGAGCGGTAGTTAAGTACAAAGATTGAAAATATCGTACAGTGTATGCCCAGCCTTAGACATGGTAATTGTAGACTAGCTCTGCAGGTGGCTTCATCCAGCTGACTGATCGTGCACATTCAGCCAGCTGGAAAAATTGATTGACTGTCTGTACTCTGCTCAATTAACAATGTTAATAGTCTGGTATGCATCACAGTTCCCATGTTTAATCCTGTAAATGGAGATCAGCTATCAATATCCACCTCTAAGCAGGTGTTAAAATTATTTTCATATCTAAGATTTACTTATAAGGAAAATTATGGTAGAAACACTGAATGAGGGCATCTGTTTGGGCCTTTGTATTTCTGGTAGGACTGTATTCATATGTCTGAGTGACACTTCAATTAGTGGCTAGTGAATCGTGAGGCGTTGCCTTTTACAAGGACCAACAGGCATGTGCCTGGACCACACATCTTGAGGCACCACCTAGACAAGAGCCCCCTCAATTACAGTATACCAAGCAAGTCCGAACAAACCACATGAATCAGTTTCAAATGCTTCTGTTCTCTGAATTAGTGCAGAGGATTACTCATTTTTGATTTTAAACTTAACAAACATGGGCCTGAAAGTGTTTTATGAAATTTGGCAAAGAAAACTTAGGTCAGGGTCTGGATAAGGGACATCTGCTGTAAGTATGCAACTATGGAATTACAGTATGTTTTGTGTGTGTTTGTGTGTGTGTGAGAGACAGTCAAGTTTGTAGTACTAGATATCACAAGCAGCAACATCAAAGTGTGCCTTTAAAAGCACATTTTGTGCATAGAGGCTTTTATAATTCAAGCATATCAACCATCAATTACATGTGTTAAAGTGCTCTAAAAAAAAACCCAGAGGACCTTAAACTAGAAAGGCTCATTGGACTAAATGGTATATTTTCTCATTTTTAAAGAAATCCTCATTGTACATGACACGCAGTACATGCAGAGTGGTCTGTGCTTGACAGCCATTCATTAAATCTAATAGGCCTTCCTCCCATTTCCACCCAGCCTTGTGCAGCCTATGCGTACCGAGCAGCGCTGGCACTCTGTGACATGACAGAATGACAATGAGCTGCAGTCTCACCATGTTAGCTACTAGATGCGCTGAGACTGTCCCATCATTTCTCTATGCGTCTTCTAGCTCATAAAATGCAGGTCTTTTGTAGGAATGGTTTCAGTATGCTATTAAAAGGTATCTTAATGTGCCCATGCATTTAGCTGTTGTACACTGACATATGGCAATGAAAGAGTGTCATTTGACATTGCTCTGTGGGTGACACATATCAATTCCTGCAGCTGACAGAAATAACACATTAACAATATATCTAACTAAAAAGAACATATGTCATGGTTTTACAACTATCAATACAATGGACGTAAACAACAACCTTTAATTTATTAATTATCCTCCTTTTTCTCAAAATAAAATCCAGTGCATCTAGTCACCCTTAGAGATAGACAGACATGAAGACAGAAAAGCAGATATTATACTGTAGACAGACAGACAGACAGACAGACAGACAGACAGACAGACAGACAGACAGACAGACAGACAGACAGACAGACAGACAGACAGACAGACAGACAGATAGATAGATAGATAGATAGATAGATAGATAGATAGATAGATAGATAGATAGATAGGGATAACTGTTGTATGACTTAGAAGTATAATGCTCAACAAAGAGTTAGTCTAGCATTTACATGGCAGTTCCCCTTTTATCAATAGTGATATTTTGCTAAATTAGAATTTCTAATTGTTTCCTTCTATTTAAAGGTCTAACGAAAAGTACATCTACCAATTGTCACTTCTTTAAGATCACACTTCTCAGAAAAAATGTCCTTAATTGGTCATTTGGGAGTCAGCCAGGGGAGATGCAGTTTACCGTTGAGCTTCATAACACAACTTTGACACGCTGACATATGGTTTGCGTTTACTAATTCGGGACCTGAAACAAGCCTCAAGACTGAGCCAGAACAACAGGGGAATGTCAAGCCAAGCTGTGTAACCTGTTTGTGGAGTAATTATTTAGATTTTATTAGGAATATAAGAGGAAATAATCTCCGCTTTACAAAATAACATGAATTCCGACTGACTATAGCTCACACCGTTGTTTGTCTCTTTTTGTTATCTGAGGAAAAAACCAATTAAGTTAGAAAAACAATTAAGAATGAGGCAGAGCCAGAAGGGTTTAAATTAAGTCAGTTTTTGATGAACTCTTAATTAGAGTAATAAAAACTAAAACACATGCTGCCTTAAACAGGATGTGATTTTGTTATCATGTTAAATCAAAGAACAGAAAGAAGTGCACTTTATTAAGCTCACAATATTACTTTGTTGCTAAATTTGAATTCAGGACAAAATTGAAATGATAAAAAAAATAAAAGTTAAAACATTTTTCTCACTTTAAATGATTTCATTAAGCACTTTTTTGTAATTAGCTTAGAGTAGATCAAGTTTTAAATTTCAAATATCAACGGTAGACTTAAAGATCCTTGAATGTCTTTTTTTTTCTTTTTCCAATTTTAGTACAAAGGTTTTCCTTTTGTGAAAGGGATTTATTTTTTTGTCAGAGAGATTTCCAAAATTCTCCATTTCTGAGGCCAACACGATACTGTATGTTAAATACATATAATGTTCATGACTTTTCCTTTTCAAATTTGTTCTGTCTGGTAGCTTAATAATAAATTATTTTTTACATCATTGAAATTTAGAAAATGTTAAACAAAAGAAAAAAGACAAAAAGCAAGCTCAGGGCAGCTTGAAACAAAGCTAAAAGTGGACGAAGAATTATAATTATATCTGGAACGCTGAACTCTGGCATTAGTGAATAAGTCAGCAAAGAAAAAAGTTTTATTCATAAAGTTTCAAGCTTGACTATTTATGAATAGAAAAGCAAAGATTGATCAATGATATCATCCAGTTTCAAATAGAGGAACTCAGTAGGTGGTTTGAGAAATACCAAACCAGCTTCCTGTGAAAGCTTTTTAAAGTGCTATATCCTAAACACAGTCTTTCTTTACATCAGTGCAGCATAGAATGGGAACCTGCATGTAAAACTATCATTAGAAGTAAAAGAATTTGTAAAAATTTAGTCAGGCATATTAAAGTGTGCACTGGTACTGACAAGAATTTATGCTCCTACTGGCATGCAAATGCTGTTTAAAAAAACAGACTGATATTTCATATCCGTTCAAATAGTTGGACACATTTTGAATTCTGGTTTCTTTATAACTTGCTTTCATAACTTGGATGATGGGGCAAAAAGGAACTTTGCTCCTTTCCTCTAATCCTTAGGGTACATGTTTTGGGAAATATATATATTTATTGTTTTTCAACGACAGACACAGAATAATACAAAGATATCTGAATTTCTAAACCTTGAAGATAACATAGGTCTCATTTTAAGATAAATTGAATATAAAGTTATTAATTACCATTGTAATTAGAAACATTCTGTTTTTAGGTCGTATGTAGAATATGTTGCTTCTCAGAACTTTTGACATGTCAGTTTTAAGGCAACACTGCATCACTTTCACTTCCAAGTACTTAAAGAGGCAGAGTCTCATTATATTATTTATTTAAAATGATCCATCAATAGGTCATTCGGGTTGCTCAAAAAGTTTTTCCAAATATTTTGCGTTCTGTTGGTTTATTATTTCTTAATTTCGGTTCTACACTCTGTTAGAAAATAAAACCCTTCTGCTCATGTTTACAATACATCACATGACTGAAGGATAATGCTATTGTGCATGTGCTCAACAGTTCAACGAGAAAATGATGGGACCAAACAAATTAGCAACTCTTTGCGATCTTCTGAATTCAATAAAGAAAAGTCAAAGATTCAGTGTGATTCATATCCCAAGAGGGATAAGACTTGTTTGGTACTTGAAAGTATGAATGCAGTGTTCACTGAAGTGAGAGCTACAGCTGTGGAGGCATTCAGCTGTCTGCAAAATCAATATGTTAGAGACTTAAATACATGTCCTTATAACATGAGTGTAGCCATCTAGTTGGAGAAATAAAGAATTTTCAGGTCAACATACAACACTGAGTGTGTATCAATTTCCCGTACGGGTTGCCTTTCTAAAAAACTCTCCTTTGTAAGCTTAAACAGTTTGATCCATAACTTTATGATCCATAAGTGTTAGGAGTCAGTACAATGCTAATACTTTAGTTTTAAAAATGTGGGATTGGAAGCTCATCACATTTTATCCATCTCAAGAAAAGCTGCTAAACTTGCCGATATGAGGTCCTCATGTTATAATGAGTCGTGATCCTGGTGTTTCAGTAATGTTCCTTTCAATTTCTAGAACACATTTTGGAATAATGTCTCAAATATACATTTTGGTTTTATTAGACCATAGATGCTCCCTGAAACTCTTTAGTTGCCTTGCTGTCCCACTTATTAGTCCATTTGTATGAAGAATACAGAACAAGACAGGTGGAACACATAAGACAGCTAGTGCTTGCTAGAAAGAAAAAGTGGGATTTAAGTCTTTTCGATCATAACACAAGTAAGTTTAGAGTGACAAAACAAGTCTAAAGAGGAGAAAATGCTTTCTTTTATCTCACTTTATTTCTTTTAAAGAAAACTTAATAGACTCTTTTGAAATGTTGTCAAATTGATAGTTATTCCTGACTTAATTTTCCTGTAGCCCCTTAATAAAATACAAAATATCTTACACTAAATTTGAGTACATAACCACACCCACCTATTTATGTGATGCTTGCATCCACCAAGTCACTGGTCCAGGCCACTCCAGACAGATATCACCATTTGGTTTACAGAAAAAAACAATCAGCTTAACCAAATATCCTGATATATAAAAAGCAATTTCACCCATCACACAAAAAGAGGCGAATGATCATGGCTCTTAGAATGCGTAATCCCTTTAACTGACAACATCCCCTTTCTTCTCCTTCTTCTTCTTCTTTTTCCCATTTCTGTCCTCCTCCAACTTTCTAGGGAAGAACAAACACAGGCTCTATTGTCTGAGACTCCAATCTGAACACTGCAGAACACTTGGTGCCTTCATTGACATTCACATGGCCACAGCCCAGACTTACAAATGGTTTTTTATCACTTTTTTTCCTTGTTTTTTTCTGTCCTGTCTTGGTGAACAATCCCGTGCTTATTAGAGTTGAGCTGCAGCACTGAGCAGATGGTATTTCATCCACTGTAAGGTCACCATTTTTGCTAGTGATAGGACATCAACAATCTGTTTTCTGACATTCAAGCATTGGGAGGGAGCAAGTTATTCCCTAACACTTCTTACTGCTTTTGTCCTATTTTGATAGTAAACCCCTCCTAATGACTGATGGTTGCAAAAATAATCCAGTGAATGTTTGTCCTTCTATCTTTAAATGTGTCCTATATAACCAGAACAGTGTTTAAGGATTAAAGTTGATTAATCTGTATCATGTAAATCTGTGGAAGATGTTGTTTCTCACAGGAAGCAGTTGTACCATTTTTACGTTTTTAAACAGCAACTAATAATATTTGCCAAAGAAAAAATGTTATGCAAAAAAGCAACAACATCAAAAAAAATGTTGTTATTAACCATCTTGCACTTTAAGTAGCAGTTATATATTTGTCAACATTTTTTTAGCATACTTACACTGCCATAAATTAAATTTATTATTTTTTTTTCATTTATAAGGATGGTTAAAGACAAACTAAAATTATATAATAAATAAGGCATCCAGCATCTGATGCATTAAATCTTTAAAGAATTCAGGGATATTTTCTACACCCTTTGTGTGATTAATAAAATCCAAAGTGTATGCACAAATCTGTGTGCCCCTAGGACATGTCTGAAACAAATACTAACTAGCTGTGATCTTTACACCCTTAGGCAGCACTGCATGAAACCCAGTCATGATTACAATACATGGTAGAAATTACTGTCTGGACTGAAAACTACTGTCAGTAAAAACATACAATCCATCCCTATGTCTGTAAGGGCAAATTAGTATCTGCCATTCAGGCAGATACTTATACAGAGGACCTGCAGGGTTTGTGACATAAAAATAAATAAATAAATAAATAAATAAAAAATGTAAAAAGAAGTTTCGTGAACCATGATACTTAGTTCATATGTTCTTTGTTTAAGGACCAATTCCAAAAAACTAAAAGTGCAACTTTCAGGGTTTGAGTCGTTATAATTCAAAACTTCATAATGAATACTAGATATTTCCATGGCTGGAAATATCAACACACTTTTGTGACATTTTTTGTTTATTTTGGGAAAAAAAGGCTGGTTTCCTTAAGGGGCCTAGATCACATTGACAACTAAAGGCCCGTGGACAGAATCCAGGCAGTCATAGCAATTTTTCTGGCACTCAAGGGCCAAAAAGGCATGTCATATTCAGCTGAAATAAGTAATTAAGAATAAATAAATAATATATAATATATATATATTTTTTTATATAAATTGCAGGAACAGGAACTGACTGGAATTGGAGTCACTTTTCAGAAGCCTGGAGGTTGCACAGGCTCTGATGATTGATCCAGGTTAGAGATTGGGTAATAGGAGGCACATTTACCAGAGAGAGGTCTCCAGAAGAACAAATGCAGGAGGCTTTTGTCACACCCCTCAAACACCGGACACACTTAGACGTTTATTTGTAAGCTAAAGCTGGTCGGTCCGTCACAGTTTTGATTTAGTCCAGAAACAATTGAAAATTGGGTTGTGTTTGGTCGGTCTGATTTTGCCCCACTTAAGTTCATATCTAAAAATAACGACTTTTCAACTTTCCCTTTCAACCCAATGTTGATGTTGCTTGGACATAAATCATGTTGCCTTATCAATGTCTTTTTAACCAATTTTTTCTTGTTCAGACATGATTGGCTGAACATTCTAGACGGGGAAGAGGCAAACACTAGGTCGTGACGCAAGACGAAGGTCGATGTATTAGACAGGGTTAAGGCAGGGTGGTCTACTCACCTGTATGCCTTTCAAGAATCTGGTGATTACTGCTCCCAAGGCCTGTATTTGTTATTATACTACATTAGTTGGTTCTTTGTATCATTTTAAGGAACTTTTAAGAGACATTGTAGAGGGTCTGAAGCCACAGGTTGCAGACCCTTGCTATAGGACACAGAGTTGCAGTGAAGGTATGTGTCTTGTGTTCTAGGTCTGAGAAATCACACCAGAAAACAACTATTTCATAAGAAATTAAAACTTTGTAGAGCTTTGAAAGGCTTAAAAACTATAGGTTTAGATATAAGATCTTTAAATTCTATAGTTTTTCAAAACTTTTAAAATTATGTGGCTTTTTTTGTTGTATGGGATGTGAAAATGGGTACTTCTTTTTAGCCTCACAAATCAATTATAGTAACTCCAATTACCAGCAGTTAAAAGTTTGTCTTTCCTAAGGCTTTTTATATTAGAAAACCCAATTACCTTTTGTATAAAATACCCTAGGACCCCTCGTTATATGCTCCGTGAAAATACGCTAACCTCGGAAGGCTAATTACACCCCTAAACAATGCAAATGGATTCCATCATTAGAAAACTCTAAAAAGGCCAAAACAAGACCGCTAGTGCAAATCCCTTATGTGACCACAGCAGCCTTCCCTTAGAGCTCTCTGACAGGGTGGAATTTGTTATTTCGGAGCTTGAGATTAGTTCCCTGTGTGAACTCCACTCCTATTCTGATTCCTTATCAAACAGAGAAATGTCAGGACCTGCACTGTGACATTTAAAACCTCCATTGTAGACCTTGTTTAATTGAGCCTCCCTCATTATAATGATGGAGTGTGGGGAAAGCATCGGAAAAGAACATCAGAAATGAAAGCGGTGGTTTAAAATTATTTACATCTTTTTCTCTGAATGTATTGGCAGATACAACTATATCTTAGTCTCCTCTGACATTTTCAGTGCTGTCAAATATTGGGTTTAGATTAATGGTCAACATATTTGAAGGAAGATAAAGGCAAGTCTGGTCAAATAGGCATTCACCATGATGTCATACTGTTTAAAAAAACGTGAGCTATAATTGTGGTGTAGTTCTCTCTTGTTTCTTGTAAAACTACCTATCTGTGAAGGCATCTTTCTTCAAGCAGGACCTATAAAATAGATTTTGCCGATCTGAGAATAAACTTCTATATTTTTTAACATTTTCATGACTTTTGCATCCTACTGATGAAGGTGTGTAAAGATCTTATTGAAAACCTGTTATTTCCAAATCAAACACAGTGCTATGACAAAAGTTCCCCAACATGGAATATTGAACTGTTCAACTTTGTCAGGGAAGACATGTCCTTCACTGCTTGTGTACATATTGTTGGATTGTCTCTTTGTAATTGGAGGAAGAATAAAGTGTCATTGAGATTCTGCTCAGTCCACTGTGGTGAGTTTGATGAGCATGTCACATTAAAAATGTATGTTCCTCTTACGTTCTTTGGCCTTTGTCTTGGACACTTATGACAAATAAGGACAGAGTCGATGCCGCCTGAGGTGGATCTCTGTATTCGAGAGGAAATATCAGCGTTTTTTTCCCCTGTCTACCTCCTCCACATGAGAAGAGTGCTTGTCAACTACTGGGCCTGATTTATGGGAATAAAGCAGGGTACAAAAAAAAAAGTTTCATGGACTTTATGAATATAACTGTCAAGAAAAAAAAATAAGATCAAGGCACAAATCAAGACATACAGTGTCAAATTCTTTTAAAAGCTAAAGTAATTCAAGCCTCTGCAGTGTTTGTTTCCATGGTGCATATTTTAAGTTTTCATCTGTATTAATTTTCAGTTTACATTTCCTTGTTTTATAAAACTGTTAAAATCAATCTGTTTGGTTTGCTTTTTGTTTATACATGTCAAAATTTGTTTGTAAGAGCTCAAAACACAGATAAAACTAGATTTTGTCAAGCTTGTTCAACTAGGCACGGTGAGAATAGATCAGCTTAATTGTTATGGCGTTCAATTATACTCCAACCTTGTCCCTCTGTAAAGTAATAAAGGAACATGGAAAAGAAAACCTCCTTTTCAGTGTGCAGTAAATCAAGGTACTGCTAAGCTTTTAACACTACTCAAAACCAATTTGTTTGGTTTGCTCTTTCTTTTTATATACCACACTTTTTTGTAAGTATTCAAAACATTGATTAAACCTTGTCCCTCTACAGATACTGTGAAGTAATAAAGGAACATGGAAAGGAACACCTCGTTTTCAGTGTGTTGTAAATCAAGGCACTGCTGAGCTTTTAAAAATAATAAAATCCAATATGTTGAGTTTGCTTTCTTTTTACAGTTTATAACACTATTTTGTAGAAGTTCAAAACACTGGTTAAACAAAAGCTTGTTTGCATCAAGTTTGTCCAACTAGGGAAAGGGATAGCAGATCAGCTTTAATGTTATATGGTGTTTAATTTTACTCAACATTTTCCCTCTGCAGTTAATCTAAAGTAATAAAGGAAATAAGGTAAAGGATAACCTTTGGCTGTGTGTAGTATATCAAGGCACTGCTGAGCTTTTAATACTAATCAAATTGTATTTTACTGCAGCTATTCCAGGCATCATCAACCAATACAGTATTGCACTGCATGTTTACAAATACTCAGCCTTAGGTAAAGCACACTCCTGCATCGCCTTTTCACATACTTAATATTTTATAATACATTGTTTTATAGCAAGCTAAGCTAAACAAATACAGACCTTTGGAATATGTTGAAAAGATTTTTTTTGACATTAATGACACAAGTTAGATATGCCAGATTTAGAACAGATGGGTATCACCACTATGAAATTTTAGGGGTAAACAAAGTTCATTAAAAACAGATGTTACAGCATCATAATGTTATTTAATTTCATGTTTGAGTATGCAGATGCTCTGTCTACAATGATAAGAATTAACCAACCTGGGTGACATCGGTATCACCATCATGAAGAACCATCTGTTGAGATTTATTGAAGAAAAAAGTTAAATTTTCATA